AAGACTCGTATCAATCCGACTGGACTATATACTGAATATCGCGTTACCCGTTCAATATTACTGTGAATGTTATCCCTTACTTGACGCTAGATTTCCTAGGACACGCAATTTTATGTAACAGTCATTCATAAATATTTTTAGGGCGAAAGATATAACAGAAATTTTATTCTAGGGCACAAATGCATCAGAAAAAACATAAATGATTGAACTGAAGGATAGTCACGTTAATTTTTTTTAGTATTGTAACGTCTTCACTCCTCTTCCGTCTATAGCTTCATGCAATATGCGGTTATAAGCACAAACAGCTTTAGAGGAATATGCTGTAAGATTGAAGGCTGACAATGTCCGCTTATAGAAAAAGTTACTTACATTAGATTTTGGCAGAAAAAGTACAATTTGTAAATTAAAAGACACAGTTAAAACATTATCCCTACGATTCAATCTGTCTCGCTCTCATTTATTCTTTGTTAAAATTTTATCTATACAATGTTTATCATACTTTTCAATTAATTCGTTACTGGCCTAGTTTTCTGAATTAGCTACTTTTATCTCTTCACATAAGCCACACCTATCTTTCTTAGGGACATGAAAGCCATTATTATGATCTGTATTAAAGATCTTTCTGTATATGTTTGTCTTAAGAGGAATTTTCTGAGTATTTAAACATTGCTCCTTATATAGCCCGAAATAATCATAAATCGTATTGCAAGAAAATGCGAAGTATTCATATAATTGAAAATAATTGCATAAGGTATTTGTAATGCTTAATATATACACAAAATGAAACACCTGGAACATAATCAAAACAAACTCACAGATAAGGATTTTTAGATGAATAAATGGGGCGTTTACTGAGACAGCAGTTAAAATACACCCCTCTTCTCAAACATAAAACCTCAAACAAGAAAGGACATTCTTTCATAAAAAAATTCCTTGGGGCCTTGAAGAAAAAGGGACATTCTGTCAAAGATTAAAAGAAAACAAATTGCACTCTGTCAACGCCTTGAAGAAAAAAAGACATTTTTTGTCAAAGCCTTGGAGAACAAATGGATTTTATATCATTGCCTTGAAGAAAGAAATGCACATTCTGTCGAAGCCTTGAAGAAAAATTGAACATAATGCCGAAGCCTTAAAGAAAGAATAGATGTAAGCCTTAGTTTTGAAGAAAACAAATTGGAATTTCTGACGTACCTGACAATAACATCAGTTTATAAGGTGGTTCAAATGTATTTTGCAGATATGGATGAATGAGCAAATTAATCAATTCATCTCTTAAAGATAATAAGAAGCAAAATTGAATTCAGTTTCTCTCTACCTTAAGCAAACAAAAGGTACATTTCAAAAACAGCACAAGTATATTCCAAATATCAAACTTTTATCATAATAATGTCATAAAACTTACATGTTTGTATGTTACATATTGCAAATGTTACTTTTGGGGAAAAAATCCTTCTTTGGCTATGGTGTAAAATCAAGATGGCGACAAAGTAAGACAATGCCACTGGGTAATTTTTAAGTCACTCTGGAAATCATCTGAACGCCAAAAACCTGACAAGCGTCATTATGGAACTAAAATTGAATACAATTAGATAAACATATTTGAATTATTTATTGATTTTAATGTGATTTCAATTAAACACGTCATACATGTTATCTCAGAGGGTTTCAGTCCTCGCGGTGCCAAATGTCCCGCTAGGACTTTTGGCGTACAAATAATGCGCAAATAACTTTTATTAGCTCACCAGAGCCTTCGGCTCAGGGTGAGCTATAAGTATCAAAGGGGGATGCTCCGGCGTCCGTCGTCCGTCGTCATGCGTCAACAATCGTCTTCTTCTCTGAAACTACTAAGCAGATTTACTTCAATGTAGCATCCTTGTGACAGTCACACTTGAATTAGCTCATGTCATTCCAATTGGCCCCTTTTAGGGGTCAGCAGAGCTAAAAATAGAAAAACCTTTAAACATCTTCTTCTACAGAACTAATGAATGGATGATTACCAAACTTTGTCTGTAGCATTTTTATGTAGTCTTTTATCAAGTTTGCTCATATGAATTTGATTGGCCCCTTTAAGGGGCTGCTAAAGCTAAAAATAGAAATACCTTTAAACATCTTATTCTACAGAACTAATTGATGGATAATCACCAAACTTTGTCTGTAGCATTATCAGGTAGTCTTTTATCAAGTTTGCTTCTATTATTTTGATTGGCATCTTTTAGGGGTCTCTAGGGCTAAAAATAGAAAAATCTTTAAACATCTCCTACAGACCTAATTGATGGATGATCACCAAACTTTGTCGGTAGCATTCTCGGGTAGTGTTTTATCAAGTTTGCTAATATTATTTTGATTGGCCCCTTTTAGGGGCCGCAAAGGCTTAAAATAGAAATACCTTTAAATGTCTATTTCTACAGAACTAATCGATGGATGATCACCAAACTTTGTCTGTAGCATTCTTGGGTAGTCTTTTATCAAGTTTGCTCATATTAATTTGATTGGCCCCTTTTAGGGGCCTCCAAAGCTAAAAATAGAAAAATCTTTGAACATCATTTCCTACTGAAATCACCAAACTTTGTATGTGGCACTCTTAGGTAGTCTTTTATCAAGTTTGCTCATATTAATTTGATTGGCCCCTTTTAGGGGCAGCTAAAGCTTAAAATAGAAATACCTTTGAACATCATCTCTTACTGAAATACTTGATGGATGATCACCAACTTTTGTCTGTAGCATTTTTAGGTAGTCTTTTATCAAGTTTGTTCATATTAATTTGATTGGCCCTGTTAAAGCTCAAGCTTAAACGCCCCAGGTCATGGCATTTCTTCAAATTATAGTTTAAAGATATTCTATACTCAAATTTAATATTAAAAAGTATTGACAATGGATTATAAAATAATAGTGTTTTTACTTCTCACAAATTTTAAACTCTTCACACTATAGTATCAATATAACGATAGTGTCATTAAACAACTTTTTTTTTTTTTTTTTTTTTTTTTTTTTTTTTTTTATATAAAAAGACCAACTTTATTTGGCCATAATAGGATATGCAGCTTCCCATACATAGTTTTATTCATTCTTTTATCCAAATTAAACATTTTCAGTAAGAATTTAATAAATTTCAATAAATGTCTATGACTCAAAGATGGGTATAGGATATCTTTTCATAATGAAAGATAAACAACTCATGTTGGAATGTGAACATATGTTATTCAATTTTTCCAAAAGAGTTTCAATGGCTTGGAGAAGGTCTTAATGTCATGACCTGTTTATGATGTGTGAATATCTCACAGCTGAGTAGAATTCCGACATCATGTTGCATCATTGTAAGGTCAGTTGTAGGTCATTAACCAGGAAAAAAATAGGCCTAAAGAAACATTAAATTTGTTTCTCCAGTACCTTTTTAACAAAGATGAGTTTGTATGCTCATTTTTAATCGAATTTTGTTAAAAGTTGTAATTTGTTTTGTTGAATTGGATTTAAACTTGGAAATAGCACATTTCAATAAATTTTGGGACAGACTGTTGAACCTGAGTTTCATGTGCATAATTGAATTTTGGTATCAGTGGAACTGTTTTTGATATTTTTGAAACCATTGTTACATACTTATTTGTTTTTTATGTACAGAGACTTGAAATTTGGAATGATGTATAGAGACTTGAAATGTGGACCAGGAATGTAATTTCTAATGCTAAATGAATTAAGATATTAACTGACTACTGAAGTGGTTTAATTTCTGATCCTGAATTGATATGAATTTTGATATGAACTGGCCTACTTTTAATATATTTGATATTGCTTTAACTACTTTCTTTGTCTTTTATGTACAGACTTGAAATTTGGACCAGGGGTGTAATTTGTGTAATTTTTGAAGTTGAACTCAATTTTGATACCAGCTGACCTACTTTAGGTATTATTGACACCATTTGGCCTACTTTCTTGTATTTTGACATTCAGATTTTAAATTTGGACCAGGTTTGTAAATTCTGATGCCGAAATGAATTTTGATATCAACTGACCTACTTTTGATATTTTTGATATAATTTGACCTTCATTCTTGTGTTTTATGACAAACAGACTTGAAATTTGAACTAGGGGTGTAATTTTTGATGCTGAATTGAATTTTGATATCAACTGGCCTACTTTTCATATTTCTTACAATGTTTGACCTTTTGTCTTATTTTGAGGTACAATTATGTTACCATATAGAATGTATAAAAAATTTGTTGTCCCAAACTGTAAACTTCAAACATCTACATCTTACATGTTTTGCATGTGACATTTTGTGTTTTCAATCAAAAAAGTTATAAAAAAAATTGTCCTGTCAAAATTAATCCTGCTCTAGTGGTAATTTATTCTGCATTTATTCTACATAGTCTCATAGGAACACACTTGCAACATACATATTTTTAACAAAGCCTTTCCAAAATATTAGGGAAAAATATTTCAATTTATATTGTGAATAATGAAATGATGGGTTAAACGAGTGATTTAGGGCCATCTTAGTGGCCCTATTGTTTATTATGAAGAAAAAAGGCTAAAACAATCAGTGTTGTGAAAGTATATTACTAGAGGGACAAGTTAAAGTTGAGTTGAACTTGCCGAAAGAGCTGGACTTGCCTTTCAGCAACTTCTTTTGAAAAATAATTTCCAACACTGAAAAGCAGTTGTTTCTGGTGAGCGACTCAGGGCATACATGGTCCTCTTGTTTTGTTCCCCATTATAAGATTCTGAACTGTAATGATTTGAATATTCAGAGTGAACGATCTATTTTTAATGATTTTTTTTATTTTAGCCACAAGCCAATCGCATCTTCTTGGCCAATTCCGTCAAACTTTAGATGAGATATTATTGATAATAGCCAGTTGTTCAGTTAAAATCGGTAAGTGCCGTTCTATTCGGAAACAAATAGATCGACCACTAGACACGGGAAGTGTCGAAAATTGTTGAAATCCTACGAAGTTAGTTTAACTTTAATGATGTTGTCATTGTCTTCTACCTGCTTATTTTAGGTATGAATTTATTTTGGGCGGAAGCACATTATCATGTTATTGGACAGATCAACATTGATACAGGGGTGAAGAAAACATTGTACTCGGACAATTTGGGTTATTATAATGGCATAACGCTTGTTGGAGATAAACTTTACATCACAGGCGGGCACCGTGAGTAAGTACAGCACAACGTTCTCAAAGCGACCCTCTTTAGAGCAATTAAACCCAAAGAACATGACTTCCCAAAGGGTGTTGCTATGAAAAGAATTTATTATAAGGGAACGTAGATTTCTATTGTGACACATGTTGTAAGAATTTGTTTTTAAAAAGACAAAAAAAACCCCCAAAACCCCCAAAAACCCCAAAAACCAAAGAAAACGGAGAAAAGAAACAATAATAATCATACGTAGGGAGAATATAAATTAATTGAATAATTCTGTGTTACTTAGCAGACATGAAGGAAGCTTTTATTGATATCTTAATTGTTTTTAAATAATTATGTGAAAACATACAACTACAATAAAGGGTCATGTCGCCGGTATATAAAGCCACCTTATATAGGATTCTTTTCCATATTTGTTTAGGACCTCAAACAGGGTGTTTATATAAAACTACCATAACTATTTTCATGATTAAACAGCATGTTCATGTTTCTAGTCACACAAATTTCGAACAGCTTTTATGGCTTTATGTTAACAGATCTTGGCATATATAACCCGATGCGCAAGGTCCAAAAGGGCTATTTTTTAAAATCATAAATATATAATAGATATATGAATGAATTATTCTTTATTTTCTAGACATGTTAGCAGATTAAGTGTTGATGGTGGGGAACTGGAGCAAGTTGGACCTTCAAATTTTTCTTACTTGAAAGGCATTACTGGTTATAAGAAAACTGATATTATAAAAGGTAATTTGATAGTTTTAAAGTCACGGACCTTAATTAATGATCGTTAAGTCCAAAAATACAAGGCAGGTGTCAATCATGCAAAATCCGGCTATATAATTTCAATATCCATGTGACCTTTATATAATTCGTTAATTCTTATTAATGAACAGAGTAGTTTTCAATATCTGATATATTTCACAGCTTTCAGAGATTTATTTATTGACGGAATGAACCCAATGCTCACGAGCTTTGATTCGAATGAATCCCTCCTCTAGACAAGATGTAAATAAGTTTCATAGACTTTAAACAGATAATGAGATTCTTTCATCAATACGAGTATTTACAAAGACTCAAATACAACTATTGCATCTTAATTTGATTAATTAGGCCATTTTAAGTCAATGTTTATCTTTGGTGAATAACATGCCAATGTCTATGACACATTACATGATATAAAATTTGAATGCAATAAAAATAAATTCATGCCAGACAGTGTTTCTTTTTTATTACATACATTATTTCATCATAATAAAACACGTCAGTAGTTTTACGTGATTAAAATTGTTATTAAATATTTTGTAATGTATGAAAATTTTGATTCACTGGTATTAAAAAGTAATTGAAATTGCGTATTCATCGACTTTATTGTGAGATCCATTCTGATATGTAAGAAATGAGGACAACATTGTCAGATATTCTAATTCAATTGTTAATGTAAATTTAGTTCTAGGCACTAAGTATTATATTAAAACAAGTTCAGATTTTTTCATAGTGTTATTCGCATTAAGTCCAATGCCATGAAGGAAATTTCAGTTTATTTATTATGTAAAGATGATATGTGTTAAGTGAGTTATTTTCTTTAGTTTTCAGCAAATGTTTACAAAGCACGTGCAGCCATCTATGTTTACCTGTTTCCGGAAAAGATTACAAATGTGAATGCTCAGACGGTGACAAAAACGCTTTGAAACCTTGTCGGGAAGCGAACGGTACGTCAGCAATATTGCATAAATCCTACAGTTATATGTTAAACTTTTTTGTTTGAATGATTTTGATGATTTCAGTGTGTGGTATTATAAATACACAAAAACTACGACTAATTTTCAGTCGCCGGATGAATTACAAACGTTAACTGTTACATTTTACCTAAAACATTGGCAAGAAACAACTGTCGTCATGCGTTTACTTTTCATTTGTTATATCTCTCTTCGACTTTGTAAATATCCGGCCTGAGAATTATCAATTCAAACAGATTCTCATATTAAAATATATTCATGGATGTCATTATCTTCGGGGAGAGCTATTATGCAACCCGGTTTTTGGTCAATACAGTGCAGAGCGTTTTTGCAAACTTCACCAAAACGCAATAAAGCGCGGAATAACATGATGGAAAAATGTATTCTCACGCAAATCATTAGTCCTGTAAGTTTAGATAACTTGAAACTTGAAAAAGATTTTGATGAATCACAATTTCATTCGTATTTTTGGATTGTTTAAAACACTATTTTGCAACAAGATCTCTTTGCGATTAAAATCGCTGGTAGATTGTGTTCAGTTTTACAGTTTTACAATTTTGATATTTAAACACTAATAGATCTATACTGATAATACAAAATTACTGAAATAAATAATTAGATTTTCTAACAATGACCTAGATTTAAAATTGAATAAAATATTAGCGTAGATATTTATACAGTATAGGCCATACAAGTTATTTATATAAAGATTAACAGTTTTTCTTGTAAAAAATCATTCAATGTAAAAATGCAACCCGTTTGTGCACATATCCTTATACCTTAAATAGGTGCAACCCGTTTTTTTTGCATACACCTACATCAGCGTCTATTTGAAAGACCCTGCAAACATGTATTCAGCGTAAGAATGCATTTGAAAGATTTCATTTAAGAGTGAAACACGTTTTTATTGTACACACCTATATATCCTAAATAAATTCCATTTCAGAGAGCAATCCGTATTCGTACACATAATTATATATGCAACACTTAATATGTACACTATAAAAGCGCAACCCATTTTGCACATGTATATTTACTGTAAAAGATACAACTGAATGGTTGAACCCGTTTTTTTGCACACACCTATATACACTTTTAAATTCAATTTAGAGTGCAACCCGTTTTTTTGCAAACATCTACGTACCCTTTAAAGATACGAATTAAGTGTGCAACCCGCATTTTTTCACACGCATTATTTCCTAAAAACGATTAAATTTTAGAGTGCAACACTTTAATGCACTCACATATTTACTATTGATAGATTGAGTTTAAGAATGCAACCCGTTTTTGTCCTGAAATAGATTTAATTGAAGAGAGCAAACTGTTTTTGCTCATACATACATATACCTTAAAATGATTCAATTAAAGACTGCAACCCGTTTCTGCACATACATAAATACCTTCAAAAGGTTTAGTTTAAGAATGCAACCACTTTTTGCAGACATCTAAATACCTGAAAAAGATGCGATTGAAAGGCACATTGCCTCCATTTAGGGGGGGGGGGGGGGTCAAGAGCTATGCATTAGCGTAGGAGCATGGAATATCAACGGATTAAAATGGAAGTTAGGGGATCATGACTTAATTGACTATATCAAGTGTTTTGAAATTATTTTTTTAAGTGAGACGTGGATTTCTAGTGAAAATAGAACAAATCTTAACATTGATATATTTGAAAGTAATCATTTATATGGAGTTAAATCGAAACACAAAAAATTGGACGTTTTTCGGGAGGTATTTCTCTATATTATAAAACATATCTTAAAGATAAAATAAGTATAATTGAAAAAGAAACATCAATAGACTATTTTGGATAAAATTAGATAAACTCTTTTTTTCACACGATACTGATATTTATCTATGCCATATGTACAAGAGACCCACAAGTAATAATTCGTTTTGTATTAGAAAATAATGCTTTTGACTTTTTTGATTGTTTAGAATAAAATATTGATCATTTTGAAAACTTAGGCCATGTTATCATTACTGGTGACATGAATAGTAGAACTTGTGTTGATTACGATTTTATTGTTTTTGATAAATACTTAGATGACAATCAACCATTCATTTATAAATGTGATAGTATTTCTCGCAGATGTAGTTGATTCTTAGTGGAGAAATATGTTACAATTATGTCAATCGACCGGTTTTTTAATTGCAAATGGCCGATTAGGAAATGATACTTCAGGAGATTTTACTTTTTGTACCGATAGGGGTGCCAGTGTTTTAGACTATCTTCTACTCAAATATGATATTTTCAAATATATAGACAATTTTCTACATGCGTGTTTGTCTTTTGAATCAAAGTCTAAATTCAGTGTTACATTAGAGTTTGACGGTACGAAATCAGAAAAGACTCAAAATATAAAAACAATGGTTTTTGACACAAATAAGGTAAACTCTTTTAATTGCCTTTTAAGAAATGAATATGAGTCAATTAATAAATTGATAACACAAGATAATTTTGGTGACGTCAATGAATCTGCTACACAATTCACAAATTTACTTCATTCAGCAGCTGAAACTGTATTCTGTAAGATAAATAACAAAAAATACAAATACAAAAATCTGTTATGGTTTGATACCAAATGTAAACAAGAAAAGATCAAATTAAAATATCCTAAGAACTTGTATAAAAGGAATAAAACGGATGAAAATAAACAAAGGTTAACTTTGTTAAAGCCAGGATACGATATAATAGGTTTAAAAAGAAAGGAAATTTAAATATAAATTAAAAGAGGGTGATTGTTTTAATAAATAAGCCTCCTCAAATCCACATAAGTTTTGGAAAATACTTAACTCTAAGTACAAAAAAGACAGCAACAAAGCAGACTCACTCACAATTGATGACTTATATACTCATTTTAAAAAACATGTACGGTCAAAATAAAAATAATGATGTTTTTAATGTTCCCGACGAAATTATTACTTTTAATGACGAAATGCTCAATAGAGATATTACTGAGGAGAAAATACGGAAATCTGTTATGTCACAAAATAACAATAAAAGTCCCGGTATAGATCAACTTTCGGCAGAAATCTTTAAATGCTCGATTGAAATAACACTTACGTTTTTAAAATCTATTTATAACTATATATTAAACAATCAAGTTTACCAAGCATTATGGGGTGAAGAAATAATTACCCCGGTATTTAAGAAAGGAGATGTGAATAATGCTAAAAACTACAGAGGAATAACATTATTAAACATAATTTCAAAAATATATTCTCAGATACTTTTAAATAGACTTACAGACTGGGCTTCTTTACATGATAAACTCACACCAACACAATTTGGAGTTCAATATCGGATTGTATTTTTATTTTAAACTCAATTATAGCAAAAAATTGAATGAAAAAGAAAAACTTTATTGCGTATTCATTGACTACAAGCAATTTTTTGATAGAATCGAACACAAATACCTCTGGAATAAGCCAAGTTTGTCTTAGCACTGCGTGCCATGTACAACTCTGTTAAGTCTTGTGTTCTGTTTTACTCGGAATTGTCCCACTTCTTTGATTATACGTCCGGAGTAAAGCAGGGAGACCCCAGTTCACCTTTGCTGGCTATGTTTTTTGTAAATGATTTGATAAATTTTATAAAAAGTGATATGTCAGAAACTATATCCCTAAGATATGAATCTCTTTCTATTTATGTATGCAGACGATATGGTTCTTTTTAGTAAATTTTAAAAAAAAACCTTCAACTTATGGTCAGTGACGTCGAAACATTTTGCAATATATGGGGTCTCGGGATTAATGTTGAAAGAACAAAAGCTACGATATTTGAAAATGGCTCAACATGCCTCGTTTTCATTTCATAAGCTTTTCCAAATATTTGACGGGGCAGTATAACCAACATCGCAAAAAATTAAAACTTCCGATGTATTAGTTGGATCTTAAATTGCTGCCCTGAGGTTTGGGTTTGCATCCAGCATCAGACATTGAACTTATACACACCAGATGTTTTAGGAATATATTAGGAGTAAAGAAGTCAACAAATTTAACAGCCCTCTATGGAGAACTAGGTCGGGTTCCAATGTTTGTTATGCGAAATTATAATATGATTAAGTACTGGAATAAGCTAATAACTCTAGACAATGATAATATCGTAAATAAGTATATAATAATTTGAAACTAGATGAGCCGCGTCACGACAAAACCAACATAATGCGTTTGCGACTAGCATGGATTCAGACCAGCCTGCGAAGTCTGATCAGAATCCATGTTGTTCGCTATCAGTTTCTCTACTTGTTATAGGGTTTGTTAGCGAACAGCATGGATCCTGATCAGACTGCGCGGATGCGCAGGCTGGTCTGGATCCATGCTGGTCGCAAACGCATTTGGTTGGTTTTGTCATGGCGCGGCTCAGATCATAAGATGATCAGAATAATTTAACACATAAAAACAGAAATTGGGTATAAATAAACATGGTTTTGGATACGTTTGGCTTTCACAAAAACTTGATAATACAACACTCCAATTGATAAAACAAGGACTATTTGATAACTTTTACCAAAAACCGTATTCTGAAATAAACAACTTGAGCAAATTAAAAACATATACAATTTTCAAACACGAATTCAAAAGAGAAAAATATCTAGACACTATCAAAGAAAATTACTTAAAAACAGCTTTAGCTAAATTTAGAGTCTCAGCACACCAATAAGCCATAGAAACGGGAAGATGCACAAACATACCCCTAAATGAGCGTCTTTGTAAGTCTTGTTACATGCAATCTATTGAAACAGAATGCCACTTTTTACTAGTTTGTCCAAAATATAGAACCCTTAGAAGTAAATTTTTCAAAAGTTATTATTGCCACTGGCCATCTTTAATCAAATTTGAAAATATCATGTGTTCATCATCAAAAAATAATTTATCTAACATAGCAAAATTCATTTTTTCTGCAAATAAAATTCGCATTCTTTAAGGCATCATATTTTGATAATATTGTATTGAAATTCTTCTCTTTGTCTGTTTGTTAAGCTCTTGTTTATTGTTTACCTCATGTCTTAATCATTGGACAGGTATATATGTTTATATTGTTTATCTGCTATAAACATTTTACATTTTGTATAATGTGTCAGGCAATAAAATTTGAAATTGAAAAAAAAAATTGATTGATGTTATAGAGTTGAATCGTACATATTCTCTTACTGGGTTGACACGTGCTGAATGTTTTATTGAGTTTAGTAGTGCAGATTATTTTATAGAGTAGACTCGTGCCAATTATCTTAAAGGGTATGCACATGCATATTATATGATTATGCTGCCAAAGAGCAAGGTCATTCTAACATTTCAAGTTTATATGATCGACATTTCTTTTTAATCGATATCTTATCTTTATTTTTAAAACCATGTTCTGCATTGGTCACTATTTAATTAGAAATTAATTTGCCTGAAAGACAACTATGTGCCTAGGATTAGTTTAAACAACAATGTGCGTGACGGAAATCGTAAGTTTTCACTTTGTAGATATACCTTTATTTACTTTACATAGTTCTTTATTTCTTTATTTTAGAGTGCACACCAAATTACATATATCTAACAATTAGTGACGACCTTCCGAAAGGCGACAGATCAACAAAAATTAGTTTCTTTTGCAACAACTGGATCAACATAAGCGTGTATTTTCGGTTAGACATCACATATAACGAACACAGATACTTTAGGATAGAAAACGTGAAATGCAGAAATTTAAACTACCTTGTTTTAACAATAAAAAATGCGCCTTATATAAATACTTGGAATGTAAGTACATGTATTTTATCTTTTTTAGTATTCTTTTTTGTTTTGCTTCTTCAGTATGCATTTTTCTTTTTTAAGCATTTTTACAGGTATCTTTGACCGTCTTTCTTTAATTTCATTTATAATTCTATGAATAATAACTGCGTAACATATAAATATTTCACACTATTCCTCATCGTATGTTACGTCAATATAAACCTAATGACGTAGTGAATATTACCTCTCCAATCATTCTTTTCCGTTGTGGCACATTAATCAAACAATATTTAAGGCATTATATATTGGTCAATTGTCTCTGGGTTAAATCATTGCGCTTTTGAACTTTTTTATTTGTTGTCATATCAATATCTTATTTAGTTTTATCGAAAGACAAAATCGTTAATGGAATAAACACTCGTCTGCCTGAAGACTTGTTAAATGGAATAAAATCAAGTCTAAATGAAAACTTGTTCATGAAATATGTGAATAACCAGATGCACATCATAATTCTACCGTATGAAAACACCTTTGGATTTAACCATTAATCATAATATCAATAATAGCTCGTTTCCTTAAAATTTAGTCTTCAATTTGTTTCTAATGAACCTAGAACGACATTTTAATGTTTAGTGTAGAGAATTTTGAAACACGAAAAAAAGAGCAAAGATTACACATGTACTATTTTAAATTTGGCTGTGAAAACAATCCCAACATAAATCTGGGCAACTATTTTTAAGATTGCAGTGTGGTTCAGTTTGATCCCCTTGGCATAGAATCGATGCCCGTCACGAACCCTATATCTCATAACATTCTTGGTTGCATTGCAAAAAGCCAGGGTATGTCCGTCCCTGAACTTTTGCACAAACGTGAATCTGGGGATGTTCATAGATGTAAATAAGAAACTTGAAAACTCCATATTCTGTCATGTTTCTTTATTTGACAACAGACAACTGTCAGTGTACTGAAAGAGCCGTACAAAAATGAAACGTTAAATAAAGTTCCAATCAGAATAGATGTGAAAGAAGTGAATGACCGACCAACTATTCTACCGGAGTACATTATAACGGAAGTACGTGAAGATGTCCCAGTCGGCACCATAGTAGCAAACCTCTCATTGACTGACCCGGATGATGGAAAATTTGGAGATTTACAGATAAAATTAGAAAGTCACACAGGTAAATTTATTCAATTAAAAGCACAAATAAGTTATTGTTTCCTAAATTAACTGAAATATTGTTTAAATAAATTATATAAATGTAAACTTAATATATATTTTTCATTAATACTTTCTCCATTGCGCACATTTGATAGATCTATATTCTATAAGCAAATCTCTTTTATTACCTAAATTTACTGAAATACTGTTTATATAAATAAAAAAAAAATAAACTAGTGTCAGCTTTTAAGTAAGTTATATTTGCCAAACCATGTAAAATAGTAGCTTTTTGTTTAAGAAAACCTTACATTTTTTACGATAGACCAAATCAATTGGCCTATTTACACTTAATTATTCAGGAATTTAATTTAAACAGCAGCAGCTAATCGGATTTTCTTATGTATATGACCAATACCTTCCCATAAATGTCTACTAACTGTTGGTACTTTTAGAATGAAAAATATGTTACAAAAATGTTTTGAAGGGGTGGCAATTAAGGTGACCCGTTTTTATGTCAATTATTTTATGAAGCAATTTGCTAGAGGAAACTATCTATATCAGAACATATATGGAATCATTTTAACTTAACATAACGTTTATATTTCCAACAGAATATTTTCTAATTTAATTAAACATAACTTAAAAACCGAGGTTACACAAAATCATCTTAAAGTGACCCGAAATATACGTTTATTTTCTTAGTTCACAAAGCCGAATATAGAAGCACTATATATGTGCTTACCGAGTGTGAAATATTTTACTGTGAGCTTATTTACTAAATGTATCACTTCAATGACACAAAATGATTTGGCAAGCTAAAATCCCAAGCAAATTGTTGCTGATTGACTTAAAAACAGAATAGTTACGCCTTTGCGCAATTAGTTATAGACTACCCGTTTGTTTTTCTCTTAAACCACCGAACAACTTGATGTAGGTCATACCCCTTGTTATAGATATATCGAGTGTCGTACATATGAGTTAAGCATTTAATTTATGTTGTTCATTATGTCCAATTTTGAGCCAGCATTACAGTTCAGCTCGAAAGTCACTTTATAGTCACATATCAGCTCTTTATTCAGTTTTGAAGGAATGCTGTGTTCAACTAACTTAACATACAATTATATTCAAGCGAATGTGGTGCCATAAACTGCGTTTGAACCCTCATCAGTGATGGATACGTGCTTTAAAGTCGATGACCTAAACCACTTAGTCGTGGACCAAGAGTGTATCGTAATGAAAGGCTATTAATAGGAGATTTTTCCTTCAGTTTCATACTTTTCTGATTAGCTATGGGATGCATATTGAAAGGTTACTAATATATTGCCTTTGTTTGACTATGGAAAAATCTAAATTAATAAAAATGGTCCGGACTGATATGGTTTTTGCTCGGATCCGTTGCGTTAAAAAAACACCCCAAAGAACACCCTATTAAAAAAACAACAACAAAGAACACATGCCCCTCTTGAAAAAGTACGTATAGATTTATGTATATGGTCATATCTCATACTTCAATTTATGTTTTAGATATAGACGTTAATGGATTGTTTGAAGTAGAAAGAATATCAAAAGATACTATCCACATCAAGACAGCATCAGTGCTGGATGCGGATAAATTCTGGGACAGGTAAATCGTATCTATAAAGCTCTTTTCTAGAATATTGTAGTTTAACCATTTTTGGGTATAAAAATACACATTTACATTAGATTACTAATACGTTTCTTTGTCAATGAAATAACAGCTTATAAATTTTGGCATTTAATGGTAAATATATACACGTTGGTATGATATATTTGTGTTTTTTTTCAGTACATACAGGTGTTAAACAACACCTGTTAAATTTGAAACAATGGTTAATTACTAAAAGAACATTCCAAAGTTCTAGAATGAAGGAAATCCGTTAGTAAATATCTTTCAAAACCAATAGCGCGTGCACACAATCATTGGTAGTCTTGAAAAAGCAGCATAATACATGTATTTTGTTTAACATTATTTTATTATCTTTACGTACAGTTCAATTACAAAGATATAGGTCTTGGTAACAACTCTTTCGAGAATTAAGATTATGGGAACAAAGTGTTTTTAAATTTTATAATATTATTACATAAGATATAGCTATATACCATTGAAAATAATGGCATTATTTGCAAGCAAATAAAGTAGAGAAAATAAGAATCCCTTAAGAACGTCTCAAACGGGAAAAGGGAAAAGTTGTAGTAAGTCTGTTCATGGACAGTATTTGCAATGTACGTCCACTCCCTTTGTACTGGCTTAGGCAGAATTCAATATTCTACCTGAAATGGTAAAATTTATTAAACTTCATTATTGTCTGTATCTTATTAAATTATCATTTGCTTAAATTTACTACGAGGAATCATTTTCAGTGAGGAGACTCACAGTAAAACTCCACGTGGACCTACTTTCCTTTTTGATGTTTTGGTGAGAGTTGTTTTCTTATTTTACGAATTTCAACGTGCATAATGCAATTTTTTTATCGCGAATTCATAAATATACATTACACATGGCAAATATTTGATTTAATTGAGACATATATCGTATCTTTAAAAGCTACCGTCCACGACTCCTAGCACCGGCTGTCTTTGTTTCCTGCTTTTTATTCTAATAAAGTATATATCGATGTAGATCATAACTTCATATAACAAGAGTTTCTCTCGGGCATGGTCATCCTGATATTTCTTTTTTCAATAACTTTGTCTATGTATTTCAAGGTAAGGGACGGCGGTGGTCTAAGTGCTATTTCAGTAATCAATGTCACAGTCACAGACATCGGTGATATTGAACCAGTTTGCAATAATCCTACTTTAGACAACCAAACATATATGACAAGAAAGGGTGAAACGGTTACTAGTTTAGACAATTTTTGCCGTGCCCGAAACTATGTCAGTGCAGTCTTTTACTCCCAAGAAGTAACATATGCCTTGAGTTCAGACAGCTGTAACTGTAAGTTAGACACTTGTACAATCGTGTTTTAATTTGTTGAACGTCGTATGTGTTTCATCATAACTAAAATTATTTCCTCCCTTTCTAGATTAGTCACTCTCTAACATGTTATGTCTACCCAAAGGTGCATAATATTCTTAGTAACATATTGCTGATTACAGATAATGTTTTGGATAAAATGTATCTCACCGAGGCCAGGGTACGAATCAGAGACGTTTTTCATACAAAAATTTCTGCAGTCTGCTTGTATAAGGTAGACGCATGCATTCATTGACAGCATACAGTGACATTTATTTTGAATGGTCAGATTCCTCAATTCAAATTTGGAGACCGGCCAAAACTCGACCACAATACTTTTGCATGAACAAGGTTGGTTAATAAACAACACCATTTCAAGATATTAAAATTTCTACTTGGTCCATTTCTACTTAATACCAAACGTTTAATCTTTCACATCTGTCATAAAAAATTTTTAAAATATGATAAAAAAGGGTCAAAAAAGGGTTAAAAAAGTTTAATTGGATCTTTTTTTTTTTTTTTTTTTTTTTTTTTTTTTTTGTAAGAAAATATTTGGGGACCTGGCCATCTTTTTCAATTTTCTTACAATTTTAAAAGAAGACAATTTTTTTTCAGTTTTTTAAATCAAATAAGGGATTGTCCACTTAAAATAGATTCCAAAAACCACATCAAAACTTGTATTTTTCCTTCAATTTTAACATGTCATCCAACATCATTTACCACTTTTTCTTTATTTAAGAATTTTTCAGAAAAGTTTTTTTTGGGTTTTATGAATATTACCGGTTTTTTTAAAAATTAGTTTGGCAATTTTAAATTTGAATTATTTTTTAGATCTCTTTTAAACGAAAGTCCAGCTGATTAAAAATTGAAATTCATGGAACATGTGGGTTTTGTTTCTTTACATGAATACTCTGTAATCAAGAAAACATATGTGATGTCAAGTAAAAATATGAGAACAAAAGCGACGTTAACAAAACGCAGCTCCAACAGAACGCAGCCCTAACACAGGACCAACTTAAAGCCACCCAATAGGGCACCGACTGAAAAGCTGGATAATGTATCAAAAACGCCGAAGTGATAAATGATAGCAACTAACAACAGGCTGTTGAAAACAGATTGTGAATGCAACAAAGTTTTTTTCATATAATAATCAGTATTTCTTGCTGACATCATTTTCTAATTCTCAAACCTACCGATTTCAGTTATTAGATGTTTAAGCGATACTGATTACATAAATATCCAATGGGATACAGGGATCCCAGGAGAGACATATATGCGTAATTGCTCGACTGGATATACAGGTATATTATGTTTAGCTTTTGATATGGATGTTTCGTAATCAAAAATAAAGAAACTGTTTTATAATAGATTGTATGCTTGCAATGAAATCGCTGCACGGTAGTTAAAGTAAATTTGTCTTCAATGGAAGGTCTGCTATACAATAGATAATTGCGTAAATAGTATTAAATATCAAACATAATTAATTAAATTAATCGTGAAAGAATTAAACATGGCAAAAGAAACGTGATCCGATATTACATTTCTTTATATAGCAGTACAAATTATTATTATTATTATTATTATTATTATTATTATTCAAAACATAAATGCTTATAGTTTATCACTTTATAAACATTTTATCTATCTTTTATGTATCATTTTAGTTACAATCGTGCATTTAAATAGAATAGAGTAAAACAGAAGAACCTTCCGCAATATAACTTGATAACTTCTTACAAGAAAATATCCAAAGACTTTAAGAATGACCATCCAAAATGTACCGATTTAAGACCATTAAATTTGATTTTTTTTTGCACGTTTTCATTTCATACACATTTTACGTTTTCTCCCTAAAGACATTATGGCTGCAGACCCAACCCCCATCCTTCCTTTTCCGC